TTGACCACTATAGCATGAAGTGTGAAAAATTCTTTTCGAGTTGTGTCATAACCTTCTATACCTTCTATTAGTTTGTTAACCATTAATAAATATAAAATTAATTATTCATAACAAGATATTCACTATAAGTATTTATCTTCAAAACTTTGTAACTCTTTAATCATATGATAGAGAAATGTATTAAAGTTTTTGGGCCCTTTTGGCCCAGGTATAACAAGACTAATCAAAAGATTTTCTTTTTTAAATCTAATTTCAGGAGCTAAATTTGCATTAATTACCAACAATCATCAGTTTTTTGCCTAAAGATTTGGTAACCATCAATTGAAACTACTAATGATACATCACGTTTATCTTGAAAATGACTATTCTGTACTAATTCTTTGTAATGAGTACTATCAAAAATATCTCCTATTTGATTACTATTTTGTGTCACATAATTAGACCTATACCTCAATTCTGTTGCACAATCATAATCCCTATATTGAATAGAGAGATGTTGTCCAAGTGAAAATATACAAACTGCCGTCATGACCTTCTATTTTTTCTAAGATAATAGTATCGGTCTAATTTACAAATTGGACATTTTACTAATGTTTGATAATTTCTGATATATGCGCAACAAGAATTAAAGCACATATCCGTCCATATAGGTTCAATATCTACAAATGATTTCAGTTTTTTTTTAACAAGATGCAAACTATATGATTTGGCATTAACTGCAATCATAGTTTGCCTAAATGCTTCATCAGTTAAATTGTTTTGAATTTTTACTTTGAACAGTCTTAATGCGATAGCCAATTCCTCTGATATGTTATTGCCCAACTCTGTATCTAATATTTATTAACGTTCAAACATGTCAGTTTAAATGAGTTCTGCCAAAAGAAAACCCGTATATCTAAAATAAATTATTATGAAATTTATAATGATCTATTTCAAATATACGGGCTTTCCTTTGGCTGCACTCAAATATATCTTTAGTTGGCTAAAAAAAATAAAAATATTTTTATCATTATATAATACCATTTTGTGAATAATCATCTTCCGGGTTAGAATAGTCATCTGATGTTATATCATGAGCAGAAAATTCATCTAAATA